AGATCTGTCCTGGAAGAAGTGCAGCCGAGATGTTCCTTGGAAGCGAGGATGGGCAGACTTTGTCTCACCTACTTTGGTCATGTTATCAGAGGGAACCATTGCCTGGAGAAGGATGTCATGCTTGGTAAGGTGAGTTTCAACGAAAGAGGGGAAGGCCTTCAGCGAGATGGATTGACAAGGTAGCTGCGACAATGGGCTCAAGTATAGCAAGGATCATGGAGCTGGCACGGGATTGGGTGGTGTTTCGTTCTGCTGTGCATGGGATCATTAACGAGTTGGAAATGACTCAACGGCACCTAACAACAACAACAACAACATGTTGTGCCAGTTGAGCTTGGTTTCCCCTGTGACCATGGTTCTGAGCCCACAAGTCCAAAACTTGCTCCCTTGGTGGTTGACTGTGGCTATGAAGTTATCCTAACCTTGTCCCCTGTTAGTTCTATTTATATGGACATTCTTATAGCACATACAAAACATATGTAGAAATACCATTTGCCAAATGTACATATGATCATGAGTATATTGCCTTTTGCCTAGACATACCTGATCATTCAGCCTGTCTACCTGTGTATCTACCCATAGATTGATTGTTATTACTAATAATGCCGTATTGTGTATGTTTAAAGTGTTTATCTTTGTTGTCTGTACCTCTTGTGCACCTCTCTGTGTCTTCCTTTTCCTTAGTGTTACTGTGTTGGTCACTCGCTTTTGGTATATTGCCTTTCCCTTCACCCAAGTCAATAGTGTCTTACTTATCTAGCAATCTTCCCTCCCTTCCCCTCCCATGCCTAGTAACCAATGAAGAAAGTTTCCTCCCATATATAAACCTTTCCTAAAAGTCAAGGATTATTTTAAACAAAATTGTGAAATGACAATAATGAGAGGATAAGAGAGTGGGGGATGCGGGGAGGGTGTAACTGAAAGATTTATTGCCAGATAAAACAGCTAGAAGAGTAAAAGTGATTGCCCTTGGGATGCAAGAATTAGGTTTAAGTTTAGATGGGGGCAGAATACTTATTTCCATTATTGTTTTTGTTAGATACCATGGATTGATTCCGACTCATTGGCCCCATGTACAATAGAACAAAACACTGCCTGGTTCCACACAATCCCCACAATCATCGCTGTGTTTGAGCTCATTGTTGCAGCTACTGTGTCAGTCCATCTTAATGAGGGTTTTCCTCTTTTTCACTGACCCTCTGATTTACCAAACATGATGTCCTTATCCAGAGACTGGTCCCTCATGGTAACATGTCCAAAGTATGTGAGATGAAGTCTCTCTATCCTTGTTTCTAAGGAGCATTCTGGCTGTACTTCTTCCAAGACACATTTGTTTGTTCTTCTGACAGTCCATTGTATGTTCAGTATTCTTTGCTAACAGCATAATTCAAAGGCATCAATTCTTCTTTGGTCTTCCTTATTCATTATCCAGCTTTCACATACAGAGAGGCGATCGAAAGTAACATGGCTCGGGTCAGGTGCACTTTAGTCCTCAAAATGACATCTTTGCTTTTTAACTCTTTATTTAAAGAGGTCTTTTGCAGCAGATTTGCCCAATCCAATACATCGTTTGATTTTTTGACTGCTGCTTCCATGGGTGTTCATTGTGATCCAAGTAAAATGAAATCTTTGATAACTTCAGTCTATTTATCATCATGATGTTTATTGGTCCAGTTTTGAAGATTTTTGTGTTCTTTATGTTGAGGTATAATCCATATAGAAGGCTTGTAGTCTTTAATCTTCATAAGTAAATGCTTCAGGTCTTCCTTGCTTTCAGCGAAGTTGTGTCATCTGCGTATTGAAGGTTGTTAATGAGTCTTCTCCAGTCTTGCTGCTGCATTAGTCTTCATATAGTCCAGCTTCTCAGATTATTTGTTCAGTTTACAGATTGAATAAATCAAGGTAGTATCCCTGATGGACACCTTTCCTGATTTTGAACCATTCAGTATCCTCTTGTTATGTTTGAACAACAGCCTCCTGGTCTGTGTACAGGTTCCTCATAAGCACAATTAAGTGTTCTGAATTCCCATTCTTTGCTTTGTTTTTCATAATTTGTTATGATTCACATAGTCAAATGCCTTTGAGAAGTCAGTAAAACACAGGTAAACATCTTTCTGGTATTCTCTGCTTTCATCCAAGATCTATCTAACATCAATGACATCCCTCATTCCATGTCCTCTTCTGAATCCAGCTTGAAATTCTGGCAGTTCTGTGTCATCACAGTACTACTGCAACCATTTTTTAATTACCTGTGTGTGACATTAATGATATTGTTGATAATTTCCACTTTTTGTTAGCTCGACTTTTCTTGAAATGGGCACATTTATGGATCTGTTTCCAATCAATTGGCCAGGTAGCTGTCTTCCAAATTTCTTGACATAGATGCATATGTGCTTCCAGCATTGCATCTGTTTGTTGAAACATCTCATTTGGTATTCCATAAATTCCTAGAGCCTCGTTTTTCACCGTGCCTTCAGTGCAACTTGGACTTCTTCAGTATTATTGGATCTTGATCACATGCTGCCTCCTGAAATGATTGAATGTTAACCAATTCTTTTTCTTTCTTTCTTTTTTTTTTTAACCAATTCTTTTTGGTGCAGGAACTCTTTGTATTCCTTCTGTCTTCTTTTGATGCTTTTTCTGTTGTTCAATATTTTGCACATAGAATCCTTCAATATTGCAACTCTAGGCTTGACTGTTTTTTTCCAGTTCTGTCAGCTTGAGAAATGCTGAGTGTGTTCTTTCCTTTTAGTTTTTCTAACTCCAGGTCTTTGCACAAAGTATTACATACTTTGTCTTCTATGGTTGCTCTTTGAAATACTCAGTTCAGCTCTTTTACTTCATTTCTTCCATTTGCTTTACCTACTCTCTGTTCAAGAGCAAGTTTCAGAGTCTCTTCTGACATCCATTTTGACCTTTTCTTTCTTTCTTGTCTTTTTAATGACCTTTTACTTTCTTCATGTATGATGTCCTTGATATTATCCCACAACACTTCAGGTCATTAGCGTTCAGTGTGTCAAATCTATTCTTGAAATGGTCTCTAAATTCAGGTGTAATATACTAAAGGTCATACTTTGGCTCTTGTAGACTTGTTTTAATTTTCTTCAGCTTCAACTTGAGCTTCCATACAAGCAATTACAGGTGTGTTCCACTGTCAGCTCCTGGTCTTATTCTGACTGATGAACTTCATTATCTCTTTTCTACAGAAGTAGTCAGTTTGATTCCTGTGTGTTCCATCCAGCAAGGTCCACATGTATAGTCCCTGTTGGAAAAGGTTTTTGGTCTGCAAAATTCTATCATGCAATCTCTGGTGTCATTTCTATCACTAAGGCCATATTTTCCAACTACCAATCCTTCTTGTTTCCAACCTTAAAATTACAATCACCAGTAATTATCATTGCATCTTAATTGCATACTGATCAGTATCAGACTGGTGAATTGGTGGGGAGGAAAAAAAAATACTTCAATCTCCTCATCTTTGGCAGTAGTGGTTGGTGTGAATAGTCTGATATAGTGCCAGAAGATGAGCTCCTCAGGTTGGAAGACACTCAAAATATAACTAGGGAAGAGCTGCCTCTTCCATTTAGAGTTGACCTTAATAACTATATGGAGTAAAGCATTTGCTGATGTGGCACAACTCAAAATGAGAAAAATAGCTGCAAACATCCATTCATAATTGGAACATGAAATGTACAAAGTAAGAATTTAGGAAAGTTGGAAGTTGTCAAAAATGAAATGGAATGGTAAAAGATCAATATTAGGCATTAGTGAATTGAAATGGACTGGTGTTAGCCATTTTGAATTTTATAGTTGTAAGTTCTGCTATGCCAGGAATGACAAATTGAAGAGGAATGGCATCGTGGTCATTGTCAAAAAGAATATTTCAAGATCTGTCTTAAAGTACAACACTGTCAATGATAGGAAAATACCCGTATGTCTGTAAATATGACTGTTATTCAAATTTTCATCAAGCTTTGTTGATTTTTAAAAAATTTATGTATTTATATAATTGTTTTTAAAAAGTATTGAATTTTAAAGTTTTAAGTTTTCAGCAATCATTTAAAGCAATCTTTCTTTGATGTGAAAGTTTCTGTTTTATAAAATAACCCTTTTCCCAGTAATGCCAGATAAATAAAACAGCAGTAGGTTAGAAATAACATACGATAAGTCTTTCTTTCTGGGATAATAGGTAAAAGATGAGTCCCTGCATGAAGGTGATTGACTCTCTTCAGTTATTCTGAGTAAGATTTGGAATAGACTGTTAATATCTTTCTTTTCTTTTAATAAATTAGTTTCTTAGTTATAAAATTAACACATGCTCATTGTATAAATATTTTTAGCAGAAATGTACGAAGAATAAAAATAAAACCACCAGTAATCTTACTACCCAGCTATGACTTATTTGGACTATTTCATCTCCATCTCTCTATTTTCTCTCTCTCTCTCTTTCTCTTGGAAATGTGACATGTCTTTCAATCTGGTGGTGAAACACAGGAACTGTGGATTTAGTGAGGAGAGAAGAGAGGCCAGTGGAAATGGTAAAAGAAAACAAGGACACAAAACAAAGGAAACAGAGAAAGGAGGTTTTTTTGTTTTTTTCTTAAACCAACTAAATTTATGCGCCTCTAAGACAAAACCAAATATACTAAAGAAAAGAGGAGCTGCATTTAAGCCCTGGTTGTCTGAATTCTGAAGTGAGCACATCTTTATGGACAGTCCTAAATCCAGGTCTGCCATGCTACAGGGAGGGAAAAAAGGATTGTTAGGTCTTTACATAAAACCTTGACTGAGAATCACAGACAGACAAGTTCCAGTAAATGGAGTACTTTATATAACTTTTTTCCCAAGTTCTTAAAACATCGTCCCCTAAAAGAGGTAAAAAATGCTGTAGAACAATTTCAAGACTCATTAGAAGAGTATTTTATTGAAAAGAGTAGGTTTATTTAAGTGCATACAGTTCTCCTCCATTCAAGACTTAATTTTTTTTTTCTGTGTTCCAGTGTTCCTAGAATCCCATGGGCCTTTGCTATGACAGAAGTATGTGGCATGATCCTGTGTTATATTTGGCTCCTGGTTCTTCTTCTTCACAAGCACAGGTACCTCACTTGTTCCAGTAAAATAATACAAGTGTTTTGACCCTCTTAGGTAATGGTCATCACACCTTGTCTTTCCCTGTGTACCTTAATTTCCCTCTCTGACCAGTATGACATTATAGTTTTGAATTAGATCAACAAGAGTCAGCCTAAGATAATATCTCCATATTTAGTCATGTTCTGAAGTTATTTTGCAAGGACAGATCAGAAGTGGGGATGATCAGCCATGAACCAGCCATTGGCAGTCTAGTCTTATCTTTCTTTAGAAAGAAACAGGAAATGTCATTTTCTGTCGTAGAGAATAGCTTCTCTAAGGCCAGTCTTTGGTCATATGTGTGGATGGAAGAAATTGTTCTCTGCTTGAAAGAGGCTCATTAAAAAGAGATGATTTTGCATTATCGTGTGTGTCTACTCAGTGTGGTTTTATTGCAAGTGGTACTGGAAATTTCTGTGTAAGGAAAGTGTTTAGTACTTTCACCAAGAAATATAAAGGGAAGATTTTGTAAAAACTTTTTTTAAAAGGGAGTGTTAGAGTTTTCTGCTTTAGTGGAGAATGGAGAAAATTACTTGATTTTAGGCAAAAATAAACGATAGGAAAAAATTTAAGGAACTAAAAAGTTAGTGGATTTTATATCTCTTGTTTTGGGGTCACAGCAGAGAGATACTGGCACTTTCTTGAATTTTTGATTCTTTCTCCTCACTAGGGAGTGCTTGAGGTAAACCACAGTGATGGTTTACTTCCTAAACTGCAATTTCAGTGCTTTGAAGGTGAAAAGAAAGGTTGATGATGGCTACTCTTGTCTTACTTTTAGTCCATGTTGAACTTTATTCTCTCCTGTTTTATACAATATTTATAACTCTGGATTGCTAAAATGCATTGATGATTTAAAAACACATACATCACTGCTGCTTTCTGATTTAAGACCACATGTGTCTGAATTTATTCACTCTTCAAAACAAGAAAGAGTTTACCTTCTATAGGAAATCTTGTTAGGTGTAGTAAAGCATAACAGTGGCCAGTTAAATGTAAGTATTGATGTTTAATTAGTGTTTCTCAAATTGTGATCTATAACTAGATGTGCCTAGCTACTACTACCAACCGTTCTGATACAATAGAAGGTCCCCAATAGAATGGAAGAAAAATGTAGAACAAAATTCAAATTCTTAAAAAAAAAATAGCTCAGACTTAACTGTACCATTAGAGACTAGAACCCCAAGACTATTGCCTTAAGTTACCCTTTGAACTTAGAACTGAAGCCATTCCTGGAGGTCATCGTTCAGCTAAATAATTAAGTAGTGTGGTCCCTTAAGCAATCTACTGTAAGAGACCAAACAGTCAACATTTATCCAAATGCAAAGATGAGAAGGCAAGGAGGGGTGGGCACGGAAGCTAAAAGAGTGGAAGCAGAACAAACAGAATGGAAATAAGAGAATGCTGACACATTGTAAAAAATGTAACAAATGTCACAACCATTTGCATTAAAATTGTTAAATGGGAACCTAGTTTACTATGTAAACTTTCACCTGAAACAAAGTAAAATACACATATTTTTAAAAGGTAGTCTGTCTATCACTTAATGGCGCCCTGGTGGTGTAGTGGTTCAAACACTCAGCTGTTAACTGATAGGTCAGCAGTTTGAACCCACTGAGAGGCTCCATAGGAGAAGTATGTGGCAGTCCGCTCCATAAAGATTTACAGACTTAGGCATGCAATGTGAACATTTACACCAGGTAAGTACACTCCTTAGAATAATCAATCATGGGAGAACAAAAGGTCAGTGTTTGCCCAGGGAGATAGCTCAGAGGGCAGGAATGCATAGCAAAGGACACAGGGAAAAGGTAACTACAAAGAGGAAGTGGGAAGAGAGCTGTTATGTTATGGGACTTGCCATCAGTGTCATAAAACAAAATGTGTATGAACTGCTGTGTGAAAAATGAATTTGATTTGTAAACTTTCACCCAAATCACAATTAAGAAAAAAGTATTTACAGCCTTGGCAAGCCTATGGGGCAGTTTTACTCTGTCCTGTAGGTCGCTATGAGTTGGAATCGACCCAGAAGCAACAGGATTGGTTTGGTTTATGTACCACTTTCATTAGAATCTCCTGGGGTGCTTGTTAAAATTCAGTTACCTGGCTCCATACCAGGTGTGCCCACTGAAGTTTGAAATATACTTAGCCTTGTGTTTGATGCTTTTTTTAAGACAGGAAGGAGCATTTTGAAAAAGCCTAATGTTTAGTCCCTGCCTTCAAGAATCTTACTGTCTGTTTCGGTGGAATATTTTTAAAAATAGTGACATCACAGTGCCACTCACGATTAGCCAAATGAATGTTACTCACAATTTTTGTTTGAGATCTACTTCTGCCTACAAAACTTGGTATTTTATAGCCTAGATGGAGAAGTTACAATTTGTATTCTACTATCAGTAACTAATTTACAGTGGTGTGTATTAATGGTCCCCCCAAAATCCCTAGAATCACAGGTGTTTAACTTTATTTCTCATAAATAATTGATGAAAAATTTACGAGTAATGGGACTAACACTAAGCTGAGAGTCAGACTAGATACTAGTCTTAGTTCTGTTTTACATAACTCTTTTACTTTCTTTTAGCCATTTTTTCTTACAATGAAATGTTGCTCTTGAAATCTAATTTAAGTCTGCACTGTTCAAGATGGCAGGCTCAAGTCACATGTGGATATTTAAATTTAATTAAAATGAAATAAAACTTAAAATTCATTTACTTGGTCCTACTGGCCACAGATTTCAAGTGCTGAAGAGCCACATGTAGCTATTGGATATTGGATGGGGCAGATACACAACATTTTCATGATTCCAGCAAGTTCTACTAGACAGTGATGCTTTAGATGCCTCTAAGATTCTACCCTCTCTAAGAGTCTAGTGTTTTTCCTTCTCGTTCTCCCTTTAAGTAAATGTTTGGGGTTTTTTTGTTTGTTTTCTTCTGATCTTTCCTGCTTTTTGGTTGCTCTGTTCACAGGTCAATACTTCTGCGAAGGCTCTGTAGTCTGATGGGCACTGTTTTCTTGCTTCGCTGCTTTACCATGTTTGTGACCTCCCTCTCCGTGCCAGGACAGCACCTGCAGTGTACTGGAAAGGTAGCCTGCTACCTTCTTTATCATTCTTTCTTCTTGTTCTTGGGGGGTTGGTGACAAGGATTTTACTTTTAATATTAAAATGTGCTCTTCAGTATTTATAGTAAACCTCTAGAAATAAATTTGGTAACAATCTTGAGCAAGAATCTACCTCCTGTGACTTCCATCCATTAATAGTTCTACCCTGTGGCCCTAACAAAAATGTTCTTAAAACATTTCTTTCAGTTATCATTTTCCATTTCCTAGGCTAGCCAATCCTCAGTGTCTTTAGTTCTCATGTAACATGACTCTGGTCCCTTTCCTGCCCACATCACTCCTTTTTTTTTTTTTTAAATGTTGCAATTCGACCATTTAAGGTATAGTACGGCCGTCCAAACCCACCAGCCACTCCTCGGAAGGAAGGTTGGGCAATCCTACTTCCGTAGTGATACTGCCTCGGAAACCCAAGGAGGGGTCGCTATGAGTCGGGGCCGACTCGACGGCACATAACAACAACAACAACAACAACAACCCAGTATTGCAAACTTTGTTTTTTCTGGGATATGCACACTGATAGCTCTTTTTTTTTTTTTTTTTTTTTCCATCTTTGTTTTATACTTTACTTGTACCTTATTCTTTTGGTACACTGTAGACATATCTTCTCTTCTGGGTAAACTGTGAGAGAAGAAGAGATTATGCAGATAGGAACAAAAAGGGAAGGTAATGAATTACTTTAAAAAAATGTTTTAAAAAAAAGACCCTGAAAATCACCTTGTTTTATATATAAAATATACTATTGTGACTCATTAAATTTGGATAAAAAATTTATTATCCTAACACCTTTGTTATTTTAATGTTGTTTATAAAATGTAAAATAAAATTGTGAGCTCTACTATAATATAAATAGCTGAAATACCAACAAGGGACGATTAAGGAACCAAAGGAGATTAAGAGCTAAAAATATACCCCAGAGCAGAAGGGTGACAAAACTTTCTCCAGGCATTAAGAATGCTTAAACTGACCAGTGAGAGAGGGGAAAGGGTTAATGTGATACTTAGGCTTTAGTATAAAGGAAATATTTTTAAGGTAAAAGCTTTTTTTCCCCCGATTTTCAAAATATAAAAATATTTTTTTTTTCTAATTATAAAGTTAAATAAGCTTACTATAAAAATTCAAATTATATATTGTTGTTATGTGCCATCAAGTTGTCTCTGACTCATAGCAACCTTACGTAAATTAGAACGGAACACTGCCCAGTCCTGTGCTTGCCAGCCTCGTGATCCCTACTATACCTAAGGCCATCGCTGCAGCCACTTTGTCAATCCATCTTGTTGAGGGCCTTCTCCTTTTTCATTGACCCTCCACTTTACCAAGCATAACATCCTTCTCCAGAGCATAGTCCCTTCTAACAACATAACTGAGGGAGATGAGATGAAGGCTGGCCCTTCTCACTTCCAAAGAGCATTCCAGCTGTACTTCTTCCAGGACATATTTGTTAGTTCTTTTAGTAGTCCACGGTACTTTCTCCATTCTTCCCCAACACCACAACTCAAAAACATCAACTCTTCTTTGGTCTTCTTTACTCATTGTTCAGCTCTCACATACATATGAGGCAATTGAAAATACCATGCCTTGGGTTAGGCGCATCTTAGTCTTCAAGGAGATATCTTTGCTCTTCAGCATTTGAGAGAGGTCTTTTGCAACAGATTTGCCCAAAGCAATACATCTTTTGATGTCTTGACTGGTGCTTCCATTGGCATTGATTGTAGAACCAAGTAATATGAAGTCCTTGACAACTTCAGTCTTTTCTCCCATTTATCGTGATGCTGCTTATTGGTCCAGTTGTGAGGATTTTTGTTTTCTTTATATTGAGCTATAATCCATATTGCAGACTGTAGTCTTTAATCTTCATCAGTAAGTGCTCCAAGTCCTCCTCATTTTCAGCAAGCAAAGTTGTGTCGTCTGCATATCGAAGGTTGTTAATGAGCCTTCCTCCAATGCTGATGCCACGTTCTTCTTCATGGAGTCCAGCTTCTTGGATTATTTGCTCATCAAACAGATTGAATAAGTATGGTGAAAGGATACAACCCTGGCACATTCCCTTGCTGATTTTAAGCCATGCAGTATCCCCTTGTTCTGTTCGAACAATAGTCCCCTGGTCTGTGTACAGGTTTTTCATGAGTACAATTAAGTGTTCTGGAGTTCCCATTCTTCTCAATGTTATCCACAATTTGTTATGATCCACACAATCAAATGCCTTTGCATACTCAATAAAACACAAACAACATATGTCTGCTATTCTTTGCTTTGTGCGAAAATCCATCTGACATCAGCTATGATATCCCTCACTTCACACTCCCTTCTGAATCCAGCTCATATTTCTGGAAGTTCTCTGTCAATATACTGCTGCAACCATTTTTTAATTATCTTCAGTAAGATTTCACTTGCATGTGATATCAGTGATATTGTTTGATAATTTTCACATTCTGTGGGATCACCTTCCTTTAGAATGCTTACAAATATGGATCTCTTCCAGTCAGTTGGCCAGGTAACTGTCAAGTGAGTGCGTCCAGTGTGGCATCCATTTGTTGCAACTTCTCAGTGGGTATTCTGTCAATTCCCAAAGCCTTGTTTTTCATCAATTCCTTCAGTGCAGCTTCAAATTCTTCCTTTAGTACCATTGGTTGTTGGTCATATGCCACCTCCTGAAATGGATGATCATCTACTAATTCTTTTTGATATAGTGAACCTGCATTCCATCCATCTTCTTTTAGTATTTCCTGTGTCCATTCAACATACTGCCTGTGGAATCTTTCAGCATTGCAACTCAAGGCTTAAATTTTTTCCTCAGTTCTTTCAGCACGAGAAATGCCAAACATGTTCTTCCCTTTTGGTTTTCTAACTCCAGGTCTTTGCACAGTTCATTATAATAATTGACTTTGTCTTCTCAAGCTGCTTTTGAAATCTTCTGTTCAGCTCTTTTATCCTGTTGATTCTTCCATTTGCTTTAGCTACTCTCCATTCAATGGCAAGTTTTAGAGTTTCTTCTGACATCCATTTTGGTCTTTTCTTCCTTTCCTGTCTTTTTCATGACCTTGCTTTCTTTGTGTATGATGTCTTTGAAGTCATCGCACAATTCCTCTGGTCTTTGGTCATCGGTGTTCAGTGCATCAAATCTATTCTTTAGATGGTCTCTTAAGTTCAGGAGGGATATAATCTAGGTCATATTTTGGCTCTTGTGGACTTTTTTTTAATTGTCTTCAGCTTCAATTTGAACTTGTTCTGGCTGAAGATATTGAGGTTCTTCATCACCTTTTGTCACAGATGTAGTCACTGTGATTCCTGTGTACTCCATCTGGTGAAGTCCACATGTATAGCTGCCGTTTCTGTTGTTGAAAAAAGGTATTTGCAATGAATAAGTCATTGGTCTTGCACATTTCTATCATGTGATCTCCAGCATCATTTCTATCACCAAGGCCATATTTTCCAGCTACCAGTGATTCTTCTTCGTTTGCAACTTTTGCAGTCCAGTCACCGGTGATAATTGATACATCTTGATTGCATGTTCAGTCAATCTCAGACTGCAGAAGTTGGTAAAAATCTTCAATTTTCTCATCTTTGGCTTTGGTGGTTGGTGTGTAAATTTGAATAGTAGTAGTATTGACTGGTTTTCCTCACAGGCACATGGATATTATCCTATCACTGACAGCATTGTACCTCAGGATAGATCTTGATACATTCTTTGTGATGATGAATGCTGTGCAATTCTTCTTCAGTTTGTCATTTCTGGCATAGTAGCTCATATGATCATCTGATTCAAAATGGCCAAAACCAGTCCATTTCAGCTCACTAATGCCTAGGATGGGAGCTCTGGTGGTGTAGTGCCTAAGGCACTTGACTGCTAACCAAAAGGTTGGTGGTTCAAACCCACCAGCCACTTCTCGGAAGGAAGATTGGGCAATCTACTTCAATAGAGATACTGCCTCAGAAACCCAAGGGAGGGTCGCTGTGAGTCAGAGATGACTCGACAGCACATAACAATAGCAACAATGCCTAGGATATCAATCTTTATGCATTCCATTTCATTTTTGACAAGTTCCAGTTTTTCTAGATTCATATTTCATTTATTCCATGTTCTGATTATTAATGGATGTTTGCAGCTGTTTCTTCTCATATTGAAACATGCCGCATCAGCAAATGGAGGTTCTGAAAGCTTTTCTGTATCCACATCATTAAGGTCAGCTCTACTGTGAGGAGCCAGCTCTTCTTCAGTGATATTTGAGTGCCTTCTGACCTGAGGGGCTTGTCTTTTTGGCACTATATCACACAGTGTTTCAGGGCTGTTTATAAAGTTTTCTGGTGATACATCAGACAGTGTTTCATTGCTGTTTGCAAGATTTTCACTGGCCAATTGTTTAAGAAGTGGATGACCTCTTCTTTCTTTCAAGTCTTTCTTAGTCTGTAAGCGCCACTGAAACTTGTCTACCATGGGTAACCCTCCTGGCATTTGAAACACTGGTGGCATAGCCCCCAACCTCACAGCAACACTCAAGCCACCACAGTACGACATACCTACAGACAAGTTTATCTCCCTTAGTAAAATGCTCATATAATTTTCCTTTCTTTCACTCCACCCCTTAAATACTGTTAACTGTTGGATATACAGCCACGTAACTTATTTTTAGGTATTCTTACATACACACAGTTTATGTAGATAGATGACTTTTTAAACAAAAGACGAACTGTAGAAAAAACTAGTTTTTCACTACTACCAATAATACATACATATCAGTTTCCCCAACCCTCTTGCCAGCGCTATTTATTATCAGTCTTTTGAGTCACTACTATTCTGATGAATGAAAATGCTATCTAATACTTTTTAAATCTTATTTGTTACACTTAAAACTGTTTTGAATTTATTTCTGTACATGGTATAAAGTAAGGATAAAATGGTTTCTTGAAAATAATATGTTAATTGATTAGAGGAGATTTGAATGAAGAAAAATTGAGGCTTATTATCCTAAAAAAAGGATTTCCTGTAGCTGGGGAATTTAATTGTGGGATAAGGCACTGAAGAGAAGGATAGATGTATGGAGAGCTGTGACATGTTCTACAAAAATAATACCATCTCTCTACAGTTTGAACAAACCTTTTTCTGCTTCTAATGCCTGTTTTTTATTACTAGTTAAATCTGGACATTTCTATTTGAATCTGCCCTAAATATTGTTAATTGCTTTGAATTATAGTATAACCTACTTATTGGCCTATATTACTTGCAGCAGTTGTTAAAAATAGAAAGTTAAAGTAATAGTACCTAGCAATCATATTCCTTAAAATGAACTCCATAGGGCATTTTCATTGTAATAAATTAACTTTTGAAACTGTATTCCCAGACGTAGGGGGATTAGGGACAGAACCAGGAACATGCTTATTTGTGAAATTTAGCAGTATATTCATCTTTAGGAAAGAGAAGCTTAAAGTAAATCTCTACACCTTGTTCACTTCAAGCATCCTACTCATTCTGCGTGTAGTGTTTCAGTTTGGACTTTGCTGAAGAATATTTGGAGCATTTAACATGGAAGAAGATAGGGAGACTTGAGTAATTGAGTGATAATTGCTTTCTGTTCACTGGTGTTGTTTGTTTCCTGTCCTTGGCTGAAACATTTCCTAGTGGTCTTTTCACTACCTTAGTTTTTACTTCTCTGTCATCTCTGACTTTATTCTCATTAGAAATCAGAGAAAAATCTAACAGTGCATATTTGCTTAGTACCGTCTCTTTCCTTTTCTCCGTTACTGAATTCCTCTTTCTCTCCTGCCCTCAAGTGAGGCAGAAAAGGAAAGCTAGGTTAAATGAGCAGGTTGAATTCCTAATGAGAGTGTGATATCCAATGAGGCTGTTTCTCTTGGTCATTTTTGGTCATAGTATAATGTTTAAGATGTGGGAATTTTTTTGGCTGAGTTCATTGCCACCTCAAATAAAATAAAGATCATGTTAGCTAGGAAGAAGAGGAGAATGGATATGGAATGGTAGCCATTGATCTCTGATAGCCTATTATTGGCAAGAAGAGCCAAGCAACTACTGCTGTGATACGGGAATAAAAGCTTGGAAATATTTTTGTTTTATGGTGACATTTTCGCTATAAAGGGTCTCCTAGTAGGGGTGTTTGAGTTACAGTGATTTCATTTTAATTACCAGAACATTTCTGACTATCACCAATTTTGACCACGCATTCTTGAGGTTTGCCTGGAATTAAACTGGGGGTCTGATTGCTTTTGCCTAGATCTTGCTTCTAAGTAATTTAGCATTTGAATTTCAGTGGGAATGGAATTTATGCTTCACCTGCCTAAGCATATAAAGTATTAATTCATAGCTTTCTTTGTAGATATATGGCAGTGTATGGGAGAAATTACACCGAGCCTTTGCCATCTGGAGTGGCTTTGGTATGACCCTGACTGGTGTTCATACTTGTGGAGATTACATGTTCAGTGGCCACACAGTCGTCCTAACTATGCTGAATTTCTTTGTCACTGAATGTAAGTATCTCTTTACTGCGTCAAAGCATATTAGATGGCAGGCTTTAGAGGAGACTATGGGAATGATATCAAGTCCTATAAAGAATGGTTGAGACAGACTGACATAAGAAACATGTGACTTAGAGGCATTGGAAGGAATGTGGTTTAAAAATGATCTTTCTGTCCTTTTCCCAGATACACCAAGAAGCTGGAATTTCTTGCACACTTTATCCTGGGTTCTCAACCTCTTTGGAATCTTCTTCATTTTGGCTGCCCATGAACATTATTCCATTGATGTATTTATTGCTTTTTATATCACAACAAGACTCTTTTTGTACTATCATACTCTGGCCAATACCAGAGCTTATCAGCAGAGTAGGAGAGCAAGGATTTGGTTTCCCATGTTTTCTTTTTTTGAATGTAATGTTAATGGTACAGTACCTAATGAATATTGTTGGCCATTTTCAAAACCAGCAATAATGAAAAGGCTAATTGGATGAACACTCTATCTTTGTAATGGGTTCGTGATTAAACATAAAGTAGTTACTGAATAACTTTACTTTCTCTCCCTAGATTGTTCCTGGAGGCCTTGCTTTTTGGCTTGTATGTTGACAAAGTAAAGCTCCCTGTTCTGAGCAAGGCTGTGCCTATAAAACGCAAGAATGAACAATCAAGAGTCCTTAACATAGCTGTTTGAGCCGAAAACTTAAATAGGTGTTCTCTGCCACTTCTCTTTAGGCAGAGTTAATGTTTGTGATTGAAGTCAGGCTGTTGCCCGTACCTGTTGAGTATTTGCTTTTTGAACTTAAGTAAAGCAACTTAAACAATTTGTGGGTTAAAAGATTTTTATTGATTCCAAGTAGGACTCTAATCAAGAGATATTTTTTGAAGCTTCTTATGTCTTTAAAGGAAAGGCCCTTATCAAGTGAGCAATACTTGTTCTTTGAACTATTTTCTATGTCTGTTTAGAAAATGCAGCTCTAGAAAGTGATCTACTTTGTTGACAGATTAATTTTTGCATTCTGAACATCTTTAAGAAAAGTATACTGAATATAACAGGATACCTGAAACAAGGAGCAGAGAATGAAAGGGCCAATACATGAGGTGACAAAGTACTGATGAGGAAGCCACCTGCTACCTCATTAATGCAAGTGTAGTGCTGGCATTTTTTACCACAGATGGAACAAAAGATGTAGTTCCTATTTTGTTTTGAAGTTTCAGTGTGACTATTTTAACTATTGATGAGGGCAAAATTACTGCATCCATAAAAATAAAATTGACTTAATCTTAGTGATATAGGTACCTGGAATAACTTTGTGCTATAGTTGTTAGACAAATGACAGCACAGTTTTGTGCTTTTTTAATGATGTTATTTAATGAGCAAAATAGGAGTGTTTTACTGTTAGGTAAAGTTCTTGTGTCCTTAAACAGAGAGCTATGCATGCAAAGAATTTTTTTCTAGTTCTGAAATGAAATTCATAACAGGTTTCACACATAACTTTTTGGTTTTTGAAATTTCTCATTCGTGCCCATTAGAAGTAAACCATCTCAGACATATATGGATATTAAAAGCTTTCGTTGTTTTTAATTTTTAAATACAATTATGTACATACATTCTTTTTATTTCATCTTATTTTGGCAGTCAAGAAGTGATATAACTTAGCTGCTATTTACAACACTAGTGATTTAATACCTTAACTAATTTCACCTCTGTAGTAACATTGGTCACTTTATTTTTAATGATTTTGTATGGCAGTTATGACAGCATGGTGGCTTTAGAGGAGTTTGAATTCCAACTGGTGAGCTTACGAACTTGAAATATTGTGTCGTCTTTACATTCCACTTTGAAACAAGAAGTTAGAAATAGTTCCGACATACTGAGGTCTAAAGTTAGATCTCTCAGTAGAAGCCTGCTCCTTTCTTACCTGAGTAAATTTTATTTTTTTGCACTTTAATTCAAACTCGCACCCTTGTATAAGCTACAGAGGAGTTTGAATGAATTTGGCAGTATTACGCAAACAAGTTTCAGTCAGTGCTGAATGACCCTAATTTGGGTCTGCTCTGAACATTATTTTTCATTTCTCACTTGAGTAATGGAACAAGGCAATTCAAGTTTTATTATGCTTTTAAATCTCATGCTTCAGAATCTTACGATATCTCAAATTGTTGATTCTATTACAAAAATGCCAACATTTCATCTAAGGAAATTTCATAATCATGAAGAGTGAAGGATGTTTCCTATGCCAATTAAAGTGGTTTGACCCTTGAGGTCAAAATATAGATTATTCCCATTTTTTCCAAATGGCAGAGCAGAACTGAATTCAGCTAGGGAGGAACTGATGTTGGCTTTTGGAAAAATGTACAAAAAAAACTGTGGTAACAGTAATTCAAAAATATGAAAGAAATAGCACGTTGGTGGTAAATTTTCCTAATATCAGTCTTTTTTCCTTCATACGGATTCTGTTCTAGAACAAAATAGGAAAAAAAAAAAAAAAGCATCTAACTTTGCAGAGCTGTTGATTGAGAGTGCCTAAGAACAGACTGCAATGAGGATTGTAAAATAATTTTTCAGCCTTGCATTTACTCATATCTGTTTTCAGAAAAGGTAAGCTAGATTTATAATTTATTGTTATAACTATTAAAAGGCAAGTGTTTATATATATTGATCATCCCCCGAGGCTCTTTGTTAGAAAAGTGTGAGATACAGATTTCTCCAGTTTGGGTGTGTTTTTTACGTGAAACCTATGTTTCAGTCCAGAAATTTCCAAATTTTGTCTTTGTAATTTTTTTCTTATTAAAATCAAAACCACAGTGAAGGTTGTCTTTAAGTTTACATTTTGGGCGTGAATGTGGCTAGGTAGAAAAGCTTATGTGCTTTTTCACGTCTACATATTTTTTGAACTTGTATTTGATTTTACAGTTGCAGACTTGTAAGAAGTTACAACATTAAACATTGAGACCTTAACATAGAAAGAACCAAGGAGGTTTTTGGTTTAGGGATGCCAACTGGGAGGGCATACCAAAAGTATATATTCTTTGGGACAGCGTCACCTTTTTTTTTTTTTTTTGAAGCGCAGACAGAGCAGTGTTACTCCTAGCATAATTGAAGTCTGTAGGGAGTATAGGAGGTCTTGACGTCAGGTTTGCTGTTTTCACCAAATAATTTTGGGGAAACTTCTTTTATCTGCAGAGTTTTCAACATGGCTATCCTCTCTATGGCCACAATTATTCAGGCAAAAATACAACATCTATATGCACACTCTGGTTGTTAGTATACTTTCAAATCAGAAAGCAATGAGTTTGGACATAGAACAAGTGTTAAATAAGTGTGGGTTGTTCACAAGAAAAACCCATTGACCAGAGAGACCTGCTGTTAGTGTAACTGTGTTCTAAGAATGGCACTGCAAGTAGTGTTCTTTCCTGCTCTGTACCTGGGTATGATTACTTAGAATTCAGAAAATCCTATAATTTATAAACAAGGAACAGAGGAGCCAAATCCTTTTATAGCTAATGTGAAACTATCTGTTTTAGGAAAATCTTTTTGGAAAATGTTAGTTACTGATGTTATATTCATAATACTAACCTGCTTTGACTGTATTCCACAAAAGGCAATTTTATCATTCATTTCATAATAAACATTTTTTAAGGATTCCAGTTCTAAAATACTAGTGAATGTTAACCATATTCTTGTTTTAAACGCTCTGATTTAATAAATTTAATAATTTGATAGTCTTTTTGTAGACTAAAAGTTTTCCCATATTAAAAATAATTATAGTAATAGTTATTTGTCAATTCTTTAAGGTATTCAGGCATTTTAGACAGGAAAAACTTTTTTTGAAACAGTCCAGTTGCTTTCTTAAGCAGTGTTGTTTTCATTTAAACATTTTCAGACAAGCATATCAGTTTTAATACCAACTTTACTCAGCAGTGTAGTTTGCATTTTTAAGAAGTTTAGCCTGAATTAGCCTTATACCTCTGTAGAAGGGAATTGTTAGTAGTATCAAAGGTCAGAATGTTTCAGGTAACCAATGAGAAAGGAAAGAGTTTTATTTGCCATCTTTAAGTGGCATTGAGTGACTGAAATTAATGTGGTGTAGTAGGTTTTTGCTCCCTGTATCACCACCCTCTTTCCCCTCTCCCCAGCAAAGGCCACCAATTTTAAGTAACTAAAATATGACCTATATTACTTTGTATCAAATCCAATACCAATATCTATGACATCTATAAGCCATATGTCAGCTACTGAGTTGATTTTTAGAATACTATTCTACCATAAGTTAATCAAAGGACTTTTTATTCCACGTACCCCATGTTTCAACATAATAAAGCTTTGTGCCAAAATATGGAGGGAGAAAGAATTAATACTATGTTAATTTCATTGTTGTTTCAGGTCAGTTTTTCTTACTGGGTTGTCTGGAAAATTGAACATAGGTAGCCAAGGGATGTTATCAGTAATGTCATCTTAAAAATGTTTAATATTCATAATTTTTCGTTCAGAGAATCTGGATTGTTAGGCAATGGAGTATTACTGACATGGAACAAAGGAAGTGGAAACTGGTACTTAATGGGGAAAGCTGAATTAGCTTGAACTAAAATTAACATGTTTTATTTTGAGCATTCTACCGAAATGTCTCCCCATTACAGAAACAATATTCCTCGAAGATGTGGAAGTTCCTGTGGTAGCCATATCTTGAAGCACAGTATATTGTACATAAGTAAATATCTTGATTCTAAGTAAAATCCAGATTTAACTAATATATATATTATTTTATATCTTTGTTGTATTAAAATGTTCAAAAACACTAAAAATAAAACATTTGAAAGTTGGATTGTAGTCTCTTATTTAAATGTGTTTGCATTATTAATGCAGCTGGCCTGCTCTTTTTACATACTCAAGTTTTATATTTTTGCAAATGATTGAGCCCTATGACTTTAAATCCTGGTATAGTATCTGTCTCTGGCATTTACTAATCATTAGTTGTCTATTAGGTAAGACATTTTTCCTTTCCCCTTTCTTTTCAGTAAAATAGGGAAGAAAAGGAATCCTCCTAATGACATTAGAGTAGTTCTAGATAAATAATTGAAAGGAGGGGAGGAACCAAATAGCTACTTACTCCTAAACATGTTAAAGTTTCTTTTGTTTTGTCATTTAGCTTATTTTAATTGAAGAATAGATAGAAAGATGCTATCATCCTGTCAAATGAGCTTTGGAAATAATGAAAAACAGGAAAAGGGGTTGTTGTTAGGAATGGCCCAGTGTTAAGTACTAGCCCAGAACCATGGAGTAGTTGAAATGCTAAGCATTGTCATAGGTGCAGGACTATATGAGCCTAATCTACTGAAGTTGTCTTCTTGATAGCTACTAATATGTAGTCTCTGTGGTGCTGGCACCAGCTCTTCTCTCTCTTGGGAACACTGGGAAAGAATAGCCCAGAAGAAACCTTGAGGCAGCATAGTAGATTGGAACATACACTGGATTTAGACTTTGAGGAAGTTGCA